GAGGGGCTACTGTCTATGCGGTAATATTTCTACATATCCTTACTTACCTCGAAGCCTGTTAGGAGGCTAGCGCAAGCTTCACTCAGCCTGCTCTTGGCGGACTGAACCTTCTGGATCACCATACTCATAATAGTACGGTGCTCCTCGTCGATGGAGGCGCCTTCAAGCACCTCCAACAGATTGTCCGGGGCCTCCGATTGGACGGAGGCTGCCGGCTCAGAAGGCTTGCTCCTCTTGGAAGGAGTTCGCCTGCCGCGGTCCGGAACTGTTGAAGATTCCGGCACGGTGTCCGGCTTAAAGCCGGACTTGGAGCCCTGAGGGGTCTTGTCCCCTTCACTCCTGGGGTCCGGGAGGTCGCCTTGCGGCTCCTCCAGGACCACTTCCTCCTGCCCCGGAACTCGTTGCGACGCCACTTCGGCATCATCCGCAGTGCGGGGGGAGACAGCGGGCGGAACAGAGTTCACGTCCGATGAATCCAGGGAGCCGCTCTACGACTCGTTGAGTGCGGCCCGGGCGGGCTGCATGATTACATTTGACATTAGGGAAAGCTGCGCAATAAAGGAACATCATGAGTTACTCTGATACCCGAACTTACGATTTCGCCGGACGCTTGGCCCTGTCCGGCCACTCCTCTTCGCCCTCTTCAGCGTCAGGGGCGTAGTCCGGCGGAGGGGTCTTCCTTTTCCTAGACCCCTCGGCCTCCCCCGTTGGGGCGGCCTTCCTCTTCTCTCCTCCCTCCACTGGAGAGGGAGAGTCTTCTTCTTCCTCCTCCTCGTTCTCGCGGGAGGAGGGCGCCTCGGACTCGTCAGACGACGAGTCCGACACCACCATGTTACGGGCACTCTTTCGAGTCCCCGTGGTCTTCTTCTTCTTGGCCTTCTTCTCCGGCACCACATAAGGCGCCGGGGCCAGCAGCTTCACCAGTAAAGCTGGGGCTGGATCTTTGGGCAGCAGAGCCGGACAGTTAATCGGCTCGGCTATCGCCCGCCAAGCCTGTCAAAGGAAAGGGAGTTCAGATCCCGCATAGTGTCAAACTATGAAAAAAGGTTTAACATCCTGTGAAGGGTGTAGATGGCATACCTTGCTAGCGTGACGCTGCGAGCTGTATCCGCGGTCCTCGAAAGCGTATGCGGGAGCCTCGGCACCCTTGAATAGCACCTTCCAGGCGTCTTCATACATCGTGTCGAAGAGCCTGTTGAGGGTTTGGTGCTGCACCGGGTCGAACTCCCACCGATTAAAATCCCGTTGTTGGCACGGGAGGATCCGGCGGATGAGCATAACCTGGATTATATTAACGAGCCGGACTGGCTTGTTCACCAGGGACTGGATGCATGTTTGCAATCCGGTCACCTCTTTTTTGTCACCCCACGACAGGCCCATCTCTTTCCAGGACATAAGCCGCGTGGGGGGTCTGGATCGGAACTCGGGGGCTGCGGTCCATTCCGGATCGCGTGGCTCGGTGATATAAAACCACCCAGCTTGCCATCCCTTTAGGGTCTCCATGAAAGAGCCCTCGAACCATAGGACGTTGGCCATCTTGCCTGCCATGGCGCCTCCGCACTCCGCCTGGTTGCCACACACCACCTTGGGCTTGACGTTGAAGGTCTTGAGCCAGAGGCCGAAATGGGGGCGGACATGGAGAAAGGCCTCGCACACGACGATAAACGCCGAGATATTGAGGATAAAGTTTGGAGCCAGATCGTGAAAATCCAGGCCGTAGTAGAACATGAGCCCCCGGACAAATGGGTGGAGTGGAAAGCCCAGTCCGCGGAGGAAGTGGGGGAGAAATACCACCCTCTCATGGGGCCTTGGGGTGGGGATAAGCTGCCCCTCCTCGGGAAGCCGGTGCACGATGTCCTTGGACAGATACCCGGCCTTCCTTAGCTTCTTGATTTTACCCTCCGTAACGGAGGAGACCATCCATTTGCCTCCCGCTCTGGACATCGCTGGAGAAGGTTGAGGTGGGAAGTGCGGGCTTGGGCGCTGGAGCTCGGGTGCGCGAGAGATGGATAGGCAAGGGAGGAAGAAGGCGTAGGTAAGGACGTGGATCCTTGTCCCCTTATATAGGCGGACGCATTCGTGCGTCCCACCTGCCTAGTAAAACTCGCTTGCCTCCCAAGCGCCGTGATAAGTGGCACGGTTGGGTTACCCACGTCCGTATTGATGAGAATCCCGTGAAAGGGGGGTACACGATCTCTGCTTTGACAAGACGTGCCAAGGAAACCGCCTCGTGAAACATGCTGAGGTGGAAAAGTAAAAACGATTCGAATAAAGGACTTGGTTGTAATGTGATGGTGCACTGCAGAATACGTCAGCAGATTTGATTTGTGTTGATATTATTCTCTCCATGGCAATATGTGGAAGCTTATTTTACAGAGCCGGACACTACTCTTGGTGATTACAATCTTCTATGAAGGACTTGGAGGAGGAACTCGCCTTGCAATGCCGAAGACAATTTTGCGCGCCGGACTCGTCGTCATTGAAGCCTGGTTCAGGGGCTACTGAGGGAGTCCTGGATTAGGGGGTGTTCGGGTAGCCGGACTATACCTTCAGCCGGACTCCAGGACTATGAAGATACAAGATTGAAGACTTCGTCCCGTGTCCGGAGGGGACTTTCCTTGGCGTGGAAGGCAAGCTTGGCGATGCAGATATTCAAGATCTCCTACCATTGTAACCGACTCTATGTAACCCTAACCCTATCCGGTGTCTATATAAACCGGAGGGTAGTAGTCCGTAGGACAGAATCAACTCCATACACAACAATCATACCATAGGCTAGCTTCTAGGGTTTAGCCTCCTTGATCTCGTGGTAGATCTACTCTTGTACTACCCATATCATCAATATTAATCAAGCAGGAGTAGGGTTTTACCTCCATCGAGAGGGCCCGAACCTGGGTAAAACAAAGTGTCCCCTGTCTCCTGTTACCATCCGGCCTAGACGCACAGTTCGGGACCCCCTACCCGAGATCTGCCGGTTTTGACACCGACACCCTCCCTCCACCTTATTCCTCCCTCTTCAGATTTCTCAACCCATCCCTCCTCCCATGTTCTCCCTTCAGTCCCCCTTCCACCGTACTACTGTAGCATGGTTCCCTCCCCTACACTCCCACAACTGCGTCCTCCTTAATATTGGGTGCCCGATCATAGATACCGCAACATCAATCCACATCACCCACCATCCTCTTTCATCCTTCTCACCTTGATGCCCTCTTTCCTCTCTTAGCCATGGATGTAAGCTTGACAGGGAGCTCATTACTAGTCCAACATGGGGTTAAACTTCCTATGCTCATCGTTATCACAGAGAGCCACTCGCCTATCAACCCGCCCTCTCATTTCTTCCTCCTCTCCATCTCCCTTCATTTTCTTTTTGTGGAACACTTCCCCTTCTTACCCGTCCCAACTATTTCATCCCCACCATTTTGGTGCCTCCCTCCCTAAGATTGATGGCTGACATGTGTTCGCTCGTGAAGCACTTCATTGGTAGATTTTTGATAATAATAATTTCTTGCTTCTACATAATATACTTGATATCAATGAATAAGGTTCTTAGGCTAAAATCCTTCCTTTCTTGTACAACCACAACCTAGACGATCCTTACGAAAAGAGAACGAGTCAGTCATATCATCTTCTTCCCATATCAGATTGCTCATCTATGTCTCGTCATGTCTTATCCCTCATCGGTGCCCCCTACTGCAGCATGGCTTCCTCCCTCCACTCCGCAACTTCGCCTTCCTTCATACGGGATGTGATCATAGGTGCTACCACATCCCTCCATATTGCCCACCACCCTCCTTGGATCGCTGACCTCTTTTGCTCCCTTAGCAGCAAATGTAAGCTTAACCGGGAGCTAATTACTCGTCGGACGTAGGTCGACCTCTCTATGATTGTCATTGTCGTGGTTAGCCACCAGCCAAGCATCTCATCCTCTCCTTTCTTCTGCCCCCCTTCTTCCTCCTCTCAACCCCCTTCTTCTTTTTTATGCGAAATCCTTCCCCTTCTTCCTCATCCCAATTACTTCTTTTCCCCTATTTCGTCGCCTCTCATCTAAGGTTGATAGCAGAGGTGCATTCACTCCCAAGTCATTCCGTCGGTAGATTTTGATTTTTTCTTGTACGCCCATAGCCCAAACAAACATTATACACACAAAAAGGAAATGAAAGAGTCCCCTTCCTGCCTTTCTTCCACACTTCCATTTCAAAACCCTAAAAAGCAGCCTCAATCTCAATTCCATTCCACAGGGGAAACGCCGAAGGCGGTTGCATCGGCACCGCTGCAGGACGAAAACGTCTTCGCCGAGGTTCTCGTCCGCCTCTCCCCACAACCATCCTCCCTCCCGCCCACGGTGAGGCAAGTCAGATCCTCGAAACTCCCACTAGTAGAAGGTTGTCAGCAACATCAGAGGGTTGTCGATGCTCGACACTAGCCAAAATCATGGCTATTATTGGCCGGATATAAGGATTGAAACCACTCACCAACCAGCCACTTGCACCACCAAAGAACGCCTCCCACAACCTTTGACGCAGGCCCGCCGCGGTGGAACAGAGGCTGGCAGGGACGATAGTCAGAGGAAGCAAGAAGGGAGACCTGAGTGTGGTAGCAGCATGAGTCCCCCGGCTCGCCCTAGGCATACGACATGGTAGTCATGGGCTCGCCCCATTCCCCTTCTTACTCGAACAAACTATTTCTTTCCCACCATTTTGCGACCTCCATTCCTCATATTGACGACAGAGGTGTGTTCACTCGCAAAGCACTTCGTCCGTAGATTTTCCATAATAATCATCGCTTGCTTCTACTCCATAATATATATACATTCGAATTGCTACTAATATATCAGTTTCTTGGGCTAAAATGGCTTTTTTCCTTGTACGTCCACAGCCCAAACGGACCTTACTTCCTACAGGAAAGAAAAAGAGTCCGGCTGCTTCCTGCTCTTTTCCCCACTCCATCCACTGGAAAACCCTAGAAAATAGGCTCGACACAAGGGCGGCGTCGGCGGCGAGATGACCACCGGCCGCGGCCACCGCGTTTCGCCGGCGGTTGCGGCGGCGCCGCTGGAGGACGACAACGTCCTCAGCGAGGTCCTCGTCCGCCTCTCCCCGGAGCTATCCTCCCTCCCGCTCGCATCGCTTGTCTGCAAGCCGTGGGGTCGCCTCGCCGCCTCCGCCTCCTTCCGGCGCCGCTGGCGCGACCACCACGGGAGACCCCCGGTCCTAGGCGTCTTCGATAAGCACCTGACCTCTCTCAAGTTCATCCCTGCAGTCCGCAGCATCCCCGCGGAGCGCTTCTCCATCCAGGTCTGCACCGGGTGGGACACCTGGCGCGTGCTCGGGTGCCGCCAGGGCCGCGTCCTCATCATGAACTGGACGCTGCGCGAGTTCCTCATCTGCGACCCTATCTCCGGTGACTGCCACCGCGTGTCATTCCCACCGGATCTGGTCGACGGCGGGCAAAGCGCCAACGGAGCTCTGCTCTCCGACGGCGAGCAGCTGGTCCTGGTAGATGAGGCCCGCGCCAGAGTTGAGGCCCGCGTCTACTCCTTTGCGACCGGCACATGGGGAGACATCATCTCCACTGCTGAGCCATGTCATCTTACCAGTGTCCCCGTCACCGTGGTCGGCAGCCGCCTCTACTGTTGGCTGACAAAGCCTCCGTATAGCTTTCTAGAGTTAAATCTGGAAAGCCAGAGCCTAGCTCTGATTACAAGCCCTCCCCGTGCGAATATCAGCACCTGCAACAGCCAGATCATCCCAGGGGAGGATGGCACTGTTGGCCTCACCATATTGTTGTACCCTACCATCGAAATGTGGAACCGCAACATCGATTCTCACGGTGTTGCGACATGGGTGCTGCGCAAGACCGTTGTCATGGACAACTTCGTTGATCTGACATCTTCGTGGGCGGCTTGGGACTCACTACTTATCGGGTATGCCGAGGATGCTAATGCGATTCTTATATCAGTGTTCAAAGGGACGTGCATCCGTGTCTTTACAGTCCAACTTGAGACAATGCAATGCAACAGGCTTCATGGACACCTTCTCCAAAATTTCTATTATCCATTCGCCAGTTTCTATAACGCAGGTAATTTACTTATCTTAACATTGAAGGAGTCACATCGATCCTTTTTTTTTCGTGCATGGTAATTTCATGGATACCATTGATGTGATATTTCCCCCCTTTGTTGATCCATGCATGGAATTATTGGTTGTATTTTTTCTGTCATAATTTAATTATTCCTCATAAAATTTGTCATCCTATTTTGAGTAATTTATTATACCATATCATAGATGTGAAGGTTTATATACTTTCTTCTATAACTATATGATTACCAGGCCCATCGGCGCGACGAATTCTTGCTCCTGTGAACAATGATGGGGATGCTGGTGGAGCAGAAGCGTAATGGCTAGTGCGTCATGGTAATCCTCAAGCCACCTGGGCCGGGTTTCCCCAACTACTTCAAATGCAAATCTTATTAAGGTTCTGGTCTCGTGTTTGTTTATTGTTGGCTTTTGGACCCTGCTTGGGTGAACTTTTGTAAAACTGTTTGTATGTGCACTTTGTGTTGTGGGTATATGTTTGAACTCAGGCTGGGAGCATCCTGTTTGGAATATGTGTGGTGTATAATTTAACCTGAGTGAATGTTGTATGGGTAAAGTAATGATTTTACTGTATCATATCACCTTGCCATAAGGGTTGACATGCATTCTATATATAGAACCGTTGCGAAAGATAACAGTAGTCGAAGATCAACTTAATGCTAGGATGATGCCTTTTTAAAGAAAAAAGGAAAACAAGGTTGCGAGAATGATATCTCCGCTACTTGCTCTATTTCAATGTTTTTTGACTTTTTGTTAGAGTCAGATTTTGGTTTTGCCGGAGGATAAACCTTCTGGATATTTACATTCACATATCTTGATTTACAAGTTATTTATACAATAAAGTACATGAGGAGGTCAGAATTGCAACATATCACAAAGGCGTAATGCAGTTTTACAGCTGGCAGCTTCTGAAGGTTCAAACTCCAAGTTGTCTTTCATGTATTTTCTCTTATCGAAGTACTATTTTACATTATATTGTTAGAAGCTGCAGTACCTGAGCCATCTATTCTTGCTCTCTTTATTTTTTTCAGAAAAAGGAGGATTTCTTTGTGGTTGATCCTTTGCTGCCTGTATCAATATATGAAGTTGACTCCTGGACAAACTATTATCTACTATGAAGCTTCAGTGAAAAAAGGGACGCATACTCTGAACAGCTTCGTTCTTTAATCCCAGTGCATGTAGTATATGAATGAATTATTCTCATAGAAGATGATGAGCTGAATTGCTCTGACTTGTGAGTGACATTGTTAGTTTTTGTCACATATGGTTACCATGGACAGGAATGATGGATACAGTTGGAAGTGAAGCCTGCCTCAACATGGTCAGTGTCCCATCTTTATTATTACAAATCTGAATAATTCTGAGCCATCCGTCAAGACGGGCTCAATACTTTCTTTTTATCCTTCTCCTCCATGTATGCTTTTTTCGCTCATCCAAATGCAATTTTACCTAATATTGCTGAATTTGTTGGAATGACCCTACTTCAATTATTCAGGCACAACTTTCCTCATTGTGAAGTTAATATGTGCTGATCTTTTTCTTATTTCTCGTGCATTAGTGACTAAAGAGATTGGTCGCTGCACAGGCCGGCATTGTTAGAGCATGAAGTACTGTCCAGCCAGTCGAAGCAATCTCCAGTTCGGTTTGATCTGCATTTGTTTTGGCTGATATCACAGGGGATAAACTTGGTTGATGAAAATGTGCCGTTTGACTCATATCAAGGGTGAACTGGATTCCCTACCAGCAGCTTTTAAAATGAAAAAAATCCCAATAAAGAACAACATAAAAATATTCATTTTTCTACATGCTTGTAAACTTTATGAGCCAGTTCTAGACTTGCTAACAAAACAACAGGAGAATAAAGCAAGCCTCTCACAGGGAGATGGCTGGACTCAGCCTCTCCCTTTTGTTATGCCTTCCCTCTCCCTGGTTTCTAGTTTCATTTTGCACAGGACACCCACTGTAGTGCATTGGTTTGACCTTTTGGGAAATTGTAGTGTCATATTTCTTTATCATCATTTTTACTCTGTTCATACAATCATGTATTGATATTTGGTTATGTTGTTACTATTTTATTGTAGACTGAATCAGTGGGATGTGAATAGCAATTGTGGTTGTAGGGTGCCAAAAGCCCAAGACCATGAAGGCTGCGGAACTTGAGCTCCCGCCCCTGTCCATCCGCGACCGGTGAAGGGCAATGCGAAGCGCGACTTCCGTCGTCTGGGGCGGAGGAGCTGGAGTCCTTCTTGACGAGTGCCGCCCAGTCGATTGGGTCGGATTCCTTGCTGGATCTGCTGCTGGAGCAGGCCAGGGTGGAGGGGAGGGGACGAGAGGGGAGGAGAGGGGCAGTGAAGACGGAGCAGTCGAGAAGAGCAAGGACTTTGACTAGGGTTTGGTCTAGGTTGGGTATTTGTGGGGACAAGGTGGTTCAGCGTGGGCTGGATCCGACTTGGCGGACGGGTCCGGACATGTCCGGTCCACTGCAGATCCGTTCCAGATATGGGCTGGGTTTGCGGAGTGCCGGTTAGCCCGGACATTTGGGCTGACTATGTGAGGTTCGGTTGAGTGGCAATTTGCTGTCTGGGCAGTCCGCCCGAACGTTTGCGGACGATATGAGGGCTCCGGTTTTAGATGCTCCAATCAGGCCAGTGCGTTTCCTTGTTTCCTTCAGCCTTGTTTCTTCAGATTTACTTGTTTTCCTTACTATGTCTCTATGATTTTGGTGCACGGGAGCGCGGGATGACTGTTAATCCTTGGGTGCTTGGCATGACAAGAAGCCGAAACCTGTAGTTGGTCTACAAGCATCTAAGCCAAAATCTATTATGAAGGTGAGCGCCATCATCGGCAGAATAAACCCTCTTTAATCAATTGCTTCCTGGATTGTCTTAATGAATGAACATACCTGGAGAAATTCTCCAAGATTCTCTAGCTAGCCGAGGTTTGGAGGTAAACAAAAGCTACTCTATTTTATAATACCTGCTGCTGGTGCAGGCTGCAATTCCCTCATGGCTGCTGTCACGTTCTGTCATTTTTTTTGTGCCTATAAATGTGCCCAACCGACATACTACCTTGAACACTGTAGTACATCTCTCCGTCTGCATGGTCCAGTAAAATTTATACCTTCGTGAGCCACCAACGCAGTCAAGTTTGTTCTACCATTTTTTTCCTCTGTGGGAATAGGTTTGTATCAGGGTGCTAATAAGGACCAATCTGTTTATTTCACTGAGACGGTTGAAGATATCCACAGACGATCTACCAAGAATCAGCGATGATCAGAGATCATGGGCGTCCAAAGGAAATACTGCTTGCTTTTTCTAACAAGTATTAATCATATTTGTAATGCTCTTTATTTGAACTTTATTGTTGTAATTAATACTATTGATGATGGATGCATGAGAAGCAGTGGTCGTGCTGTTAGAGAAAAATATACCGAGAACCTGAGTGAAGGAACAGCCAACTGGCCGCTAAGATGCCCAATTGTAATACGGACCATCCACCAGCCCGAACCATCCACCGAATCCCATGTCAGCTGGCCCAAACGATTCCCTTTGCAATTTTTTTAAAAGTGAAAAAACACGAAAACAAAGAAGAAAACACATGAAAAACTGAGAAAAAACTGTACAATAAAAATGCCACAAAAATCTAGAAATTGCGATCAATTGTTATAATTGTGGAGGCTACCACACAGTATTAAAAAGGTGAAAAAACATGAAAACAATGAAGAAAACCCAACTGAAAAACTGAGAAAAAAGTGTACAATAAAAATGCCAATTTTTTTTAGAAATTGCCATCAATTGTTATAATTGTGGAGGCTACCACACAGTACCAAAAATGCCACTAAGTTTTCAAACAAGCAATGAAGGCTCAACAAAACCACCGTAACATCGCTGATGCATGACATGATCCTTGATAAAACAACACCGTTGTAAAATAGAAGCTGATCATCTCTGGATTTTCAGGAATCGCCAGATTCCTGAGTATCATCAGGCATGATAATTGAGAGTTGCCTATTTGAACCTTCAGAAGCTGTGAATTGTCAAACTGTGTACCGTAGCATATCCAACACTAAAATCCTAACCTCCCCATGTAATCAAGAGGAAATTATGACTGAATCTTTCAAGATCACATAACTTATTACCCTGAAAATAGCTAACACATGACACACCATCTGATTATTCATAACTGTTTTCAACTAACCATATGAAGTGTATTACTAATTACTCCTGGACTCCTAGTAAAGGACTTGGTTCAAGTAAGCCCTGCAACATGGTTATGATATATTTATTGGTACAGTAAAAAAATATAGATAGAAGCAATGGTGTCCCCTTTAGAGCATTGTATATTTACCTTCATAAGGTGTGATATTTCCCTAACTAAAAGAAAGGTATGATATTAACCATGAACATGATCTTTCGCTACACCCTTTATCTTTAAAAACACAATGGATAATTATAGAATCTATGTGAACCTTTGCAGTAAAATGATATGATAGAACAAATTAATTAAATCAAAATAGTTTGCTATATCTATCATACAGTAAAATCAATCTTTACCGATACTATACAACAAATTTCCAAACAGGACGCTCCCAACCTTACTTCAAACGCATACCCGCAACACAAGTACACACAGCCAGTTTAAAAGAAATTCAGACCTTGCCGCACAACACAAGGCTTTAGAAGCCAACAACAAAACAAACATGCATGAGAGATTACAACTGTTACAACAAATGCGGCCAAGCGGGAAAGAGCCGCCTCTCAGCGTTGAATTTAATGTAATTGCGGAGACTCGAACGGGTGTAGCTTGACTTGTAGCATGATGCGCTAGTCATTACGCTTGTTGTACAGCAGCAGCCCGATCATTGTCCAAACGAGCAAGAAGTCGAAGCGCCGCTGGGCCTGGTAACCATATATAGCCATAGAAAGTATATGAACATTCACAACAATCATAGGTTGCAACAAATCAGTCAGACATATAATCCGTCCGCCCCCCTAACTTATCAGAACAGCTTCGCATTGAACATTGACCACAACACATGATTTTTCTTTGTTCATTTGGATGTGTCACAGCTCCCAACATACAAGCAGTCAAGCACGGTGAGGAGTAAGCTGTTGTACACAATCAGCTCAAATACTGGGTTTGAAGTGTCGTAGAGGGACACATGCATTCTACCTTCTCTACCGTGTTCTGCTGCTGTGAACAGAGAGTGGTATGCGTTTATTGCTTTGTTTTGAACACCTTCCAAACTACTGGAATTTTTCCATTTGAAGGAATGAAATGAATCATATCTTTTTTATATAAA